GTATGAAAATAGATTTTAAGATAATACTAAGAATTTTTTACAACAAAATTACATGTTATGATAAAATTTTAAGGTGCGCTTTAACTGGATTGTTTAAAGTTGCAACCTTATAGAAACCACACCCTTTGATAAATATTTACAACCTTGCTTCAACAAAAAAAAAAAAGGAAAAAAAAAGATGAAGTTGCATCCTTATTTGTAGAAGTTGAAGTGCTCTAATACCATCAATTTTACATGTATAATATAAATTTGACATTTCCTATTGATATTGTCTTAAAGGATTTCTATAATATATATTATCCATCTAAAATAGACGGTCTTAGAATACTTCAATCTTACTCTGACAAATATAGTTTATATCTTACTGAAGTTGCACATTTAACTAAAATGAATGGTGCAGGACATCAAAACGTAATTTCCATTGCTAAGTTTTCCATCTTATATAACTGTTTTTTCAAAATTTTAAAATTTTATGTGGTGTATTGGTGAACACTTTAAAAAGCAAACGGCCCACAAAAACACATGTTACAAGATAAGGCTATTTTAAAGCCTAAAACTCATTTTCTCTCCTTTCTATTATTGTTGATGTCAAGACCATAATTATGAGACTTGGCCGATCAATGAGGGGTCTACTCACATAAGAACCAGATGAGTTTGACCAGAATTTATTAAAATAAAATATTAATTTAAAAGATAAAATATATTAGACAAAAGCTTATCAAATTTGTTTGATCAATTGCTGTGGTTAGAAGTTAAAACAGGATGGTCGGACAAACCAAAATTGGGATCAAACTAAGATTTTGCTTTTGAGCCGACCAACCAAAGTACCAATCAGCAGTCTGACGTGAAGACTAGGTGATTTGGTCCGATCATGATAACTATGGCTGAGACCACCATTTTGTCCGTGCCAAATCCTTGTTAATGCAAACTTCAGGTGTGGGGTTGGCAATGTGCGGACCCTGCCCATGCCCATGCCCATGCCTGGTGCTAACTTTAGCTCGGCCACGACCGTGCCAAAGAGGACATCACCCATGCCCGGCTAAAGAAAATATAGGAAATCGAACTAAAGAAAAAAACATGATCAACAAGGTCGGGTCGGGCGAGGCCCGTGGCCACGGTGGCTCAGCCGTTGGGCCACAATTCCTAATTTTTTAAGGAGCTGGGCCAATCGGGCGGGCCCACCTCACCCATTGCCATCTGTAGTAAGGTGGATAAATTTCTATCGCCTCTATCCTAGAAAATACTTTCTCGAACCCACCCAAATACGTGAAGCCAAGAAAGCCAGTCGAATCTGACCTTATCCCTGCATCTGAGCCCAAATTTTCATGACAAATAATTGTGAACGATAAAACGGACAAATAAGGGTCACTTTTACAGGTTCAAGCAATAATAGAGAGAGAGAGAGAGAGAGAGAGAGAGAGAGAGAGTA